GCTCACGGCCAAGCACCAGCAGCTAGTCTCGGGCGTCTACCTCTCAGCGTTCTGGGCCGCCAACATCCTGTACGACATCCTGAGCTTCCTCCCAATGCTCGGCATCTTGCTCGGGCTCATTCTGGGCTTTGGCATCACGCCCTACACGGCCAACTCGGAGGCGGTCGACGACGCGCTCTCGGCGACAGCGCTTCTCTTCTTTCTCACGGGTGTCGCGCTCGTCGCGTCGGCGTACGTCGGTGCCTTCTTCCTCAAGGAGCATTCATCGGCGCAGACGATCATGGTGCTTTCGCACCTCGGTGTCACGGTCGCCTTTTTCGTGGCCGAGAATGTATTGTATACGTTCTCAAAGCCGAGCATGAACAACGTCTGGCGCGTGGCGCCGCTGTACGCGCTTGGCGACGGTCTCCGCAACGTCACGGCGGCGAACGCCAAGTACATCACGCTACCCAACGGCACGTCGACCAAGATGCGTCTGCATGCCCTCGCCCCCAGCGGTGTCTACGAGCACCTCACGTACCTCGGTACGACCGCTTGTGTCTTCTTTGTCTTGCTCTTCTGCCTCGAGTACCTTCGCACGGTCAAGGCGCATTCGTACAACGCGGCACCCGATACGACAGACGCTGCATCGATGACAGACACGGACGTAATTGCCGAAAACGCGCGCGTCACGGCGCTGTCCAGCACGACCGACAACGCAGTCGTCATTGACCAGCTGCGCAAAGTCTTCAACGACTTGTTCTTCCGCGCCGAGCCTGTGAAAGCGGTGAAAGGACTCTCGGTCGCGCTGCCAAAGGGCGAGTGTTTCGGTCTCCTTGGGGTACGACTCTCACGCGATAATCGTGTCGACAGGTCTCATGCGTTCATTAGGTCAACGGTGCCGGCAAGTCGACGACGCTCAAGATGCTACTGGGCGAGGTCGCGCCGTCGGCAGGTCGCGCCTTCCTCGCTGGTCGCAACGTCGTGTCGCAGCACAACCAAGCACGCACGCTCGTCGGGTACGTCTGGAGCGTCCTTGGTGCAACAGGTCGTTTACGCGTGTCTCGCGTAGGTACTGCCCGCAGTTTGATGCGCTCTTTGACCTCCTCACGGTGCGCGAACACTTGCAGTTGTACGCGGCGCTGCGCGGCCTTCGCGGGTCGGACGCCAAGCGCGCGATTGCACAGCTCATATCCAAGCTTCGGCTCACGTCGTTCGAGCACGTCCTCGCGTCGCACTTGAGCGGCGGCAACAAACGCAAGCTCTCGGTTGCGATCGCCGTGATCGGGTCGCCGCCCATCATCATCCTCGACGAACCGTCCACGGGCATGGACCCGGTGTCGCGCCGGTTCCTTTGGGAGGTCATCTCGGACCTCTCGACGCACCAGCGCGAGTCGACGGTCATTCTGACGACCCACTCGATGGAAGAGTGCGAAGCCTTGTGCTCGCGCGTCGGTATCATGGTCAGCGGCGGCCTCCAGTGCCTCGGGAGCATTCAGCACATCAAGCAAAAGTTTGGCCACGGCCTCGTACTCGACCTCAAGCTGCGCGTGCCCGAGCAAGCGGCGACCGAAGCGATGGCCGCCACGCTGCCGTCCACGCTCAGCATGGATGACATGATCCACTGGTGCGGCCGTCTTCGCAAGCCGTCGCGCGCATCGCTTTTGGTGCCCGACCACGCCACGGGCTTCTTCCTCGCCCACTTGGCCAATACCGAGGGCGCGGTCGACGTTGCATCTTTCTGCTCGTGGTGGATCGGCGAAGACATGTTTGACGCGATCGCCCAGCACCTCCATGCGGCCACAAACGGTGCAATCGACGTCGTCTTCCGCGAGCCGGCGCTCGTGCAGTTCAAGCTCCGCACGACGCTCTCGGTCGCGTTCAGCGTCGTCGAGGCGGCCAAGCAAACGTTTTCCATTCAAGAGTACGCGGTCTCGCAGACTTCGCTCGAAGACATCTTCAATGCGTTCGCGTCCAAGCAAGAACGACGCGAAGAGCCGTCGTTGACAAGCGGGTGCTGCGGCTGCTTTAAGAAGGCGCGGTCGACAAGAAACAACCAGTACCACGCACTGTCGAGCCCCTAAGTAGTGTTGTCTTTTTGCCAAGCTCGTGACGTCGTCGTATCGTTTGCATATACACTTCAATTCAACTGGTCCATGCATCAAATACTTTACTAAAAACAATGTGAGCATTATGGCAGAGGTGGTGGGGTCGCATTAGTATTACCTTAGAGTAGCAGAGCGACGTGAAATTCGTGTGGAGTCACAGGCTGCATGTCGTTGGCAAGAGAGGGTATGCATGCATTAGATAATGTTATGATAAGACGACGCGACAAGCAAGACGAGTAGAAAGTGACCACCAAGTTAGACGCCTGGGACTGGCGTTCGGGCGTCTTCGCTCGTCTCGTCCGACCACGCCTCGACCGGGTCGTCGTAGCGCTGGGCCAAGATCCGCGTGACAAACATGTTCCCGTGCACGTTCGTCATGGTCGAGAGCCGATCAAAGATAAAGTCGCCAGCCACAATGTACACAAACGACGACGGCAGCGGCGTCGTTGGTAGCACTGTCTTCCAGACCGTCATGAGCATCACGATCGCTGCATTGGGCACCGGCGCCGTGCC